TCTATAACTTCATACGATTCAAATGTCGTCACCTTTCTGAATGTATTATCATCTATCCCTGGATATGCTCTGGTTAATTTTATAATTATATGTTCCACCTGTAGGTGTAGTACGAGCAAGTGCAGCAAACAGAGCACAAAGGGCGCCACATTCTGGAATGCCTCCTCATATGCGCCAACATCAGCAGCAACAGCAACAGCGTACTGGTATGCAGCAACATCAACAGCAGCAAGTTATTGAACATGACGAGAACCTCAGCGATAAAGAAATTTTTCCGATGCATCAGGTATGGAGAAATTAAGTTTAAATCGATTTTTGACGAAAGGATTTATTGTAATATATAAAAAAATTAATTTAATCTAGTGCATCCTTTTGTTGAATATTTATATAATAATCTTTTGTCACAGCATAAAAAGTTATTCTGATACATTTGGTCTTATATATTCTTATCCTTAAATTTAAAGATGATTTTTGAAGATTATCAATATGCCCTTTTCAATATATAGATGCATATATGCATATATGCATATATGTATATATGTATATATGTATATATGTATATATGTATATATATATATATATATATATATATATTTTAAAAATTTTTGACTATTGGAAAATTTTATTTAAATTTCACTTCGGCCCGATATTTATAAAATTTTTGTTATTACTTTAGCATGCATTGATTAGTATTTTAGATTTTTGTATGCTTGCTTAAAACTAGATTATGGTTCGATAATTTCAATAAACTATAGAATTTTAAACTAAATATAACTTGAATATGTTAAATATGAATAACCTATTGATGTTGAAAATTGATATTAAATATTATTTGGAATATAATTTGCCGTAGAAACATGGGTTCAATTAATATTATGCAATATGCAAATCAAACAATATCATCCTGGAATGGCAATATACCCTGTAGATTAGCTTAGTCTATCATAATGTTCATTACTTCCGCCATAAAGCAACACGGTTCATCAATACCTGCCATCGAGATCACAAAAGAAGCCATGATGCACGGCCAACAGGGACTGGACCAGCCTTACTCGGAAGATGATTATCAGGATCCTAGAAGAAGAGGTGGCCAAACACAACAGCAGTCTGGACAATACCAAAATCCGCCTCCAAGAAATCACACGGAACGTGGAAGGCCTCCTAATCCCACATCAGTAAGTTGGTTTATAGAAAGTTAGATAGCAAGGAGCAGGTACGCTTCAAAGGCAAAACGCAATAACATGCTTCCACTCATTGAAATGCATCAACGTACCCATGTCACAAAATTACATCAAAATTTACATATGACAAAATCATGTACTGAACATATATAAACTAAACGTAGTGAATGGAGTAGTCATAGAAAGTAGTAATAGAAACTTGAAAATATGATAAAGCATGTAAAATTTATAAATGAATATTTGAGAAACTTAGTTTTTTGTATATAAGTATATATATTTATATAGTTATCAATTTTTTGATATTTTTTTTTTATATCAAGTACAAAGGACCCTACGTCATACCTACGAGTATTGGCGCTGGTCCTTTGAGGGGTCAGCAATACAAAATTTCAATTGTTCAATAATAGATAATTGGCTAAACTTTTTACATACTTTTATTAATTTATTTTCAAATGATTATCAATTTAGTTTAAATGATTTTTTGCAGGGTAATCAGCCAGGCAATACTGCGCAAACTGGTTATTATGGACAAACTGCTGTTGGACGCCAAGCAACTAACACCAGGCCACAACAAGGAAGAGGAATGCAACAAGGAGCTGCCAATAAACGCCCGAGATGGTAATTATTAGGACCATTCGTTAAATATAAAACTAATGAATTTTTTTGAACCCACAACATAAATTTAGTACTTATAAAAACAAATTATTTTTTAGGTTTGTTGCATTATTCGATTACGATCCAACAACGATGAGTCCCAATCCTGATGCATGTGATGAGGAACTGCCATTTAGTGAAGGTGAAACTATAAAGGTCAGTGATAATAATATTTATATTTAATACTAGATGACTCGACAGACGTTGTCCTGTACTTATGTCTACAATTTTTTATATAATATACTAAAATTACCGTTTCCTAAGAATAATAATTATTGTTTTTTAAATTACTCTTCATGGCAAAATGCATACACATATATAATATGATCGATGGTAAATGTAGAACTGCTTTAAATAAAATGATGAATCTCAATTCCCACACTATATTGGAAATTGAAGTCGAATTGAATGTATTCATCTTTACTTTCCCATTTGTTGTTATAAAATGAAATTTTTACGAATTTAAAATATATTGTAGAAAGATTAGTAAAAGGTGCAAAGAAATTATATATTAAAAAAAAAAACGATATTGAAAATTTAATATCTTGTGTTGGCGCCCCCTAAGGCGTGCGCTCGTATTTTTTGCATTAAAGGTAGGACCAGCCCCGATTAATACTTAATTTCATATTTTATTTCAATTTGCCGTACATTTACTGTATTTCATATTATTTTAATTTTGGCACATCTCAGCTGCTTTTTGGCAATAATAATGTAGACATTTTATTTTTCTTATTCATAATCATAATTTATTTTACATATTCTAATATTGTCTAGATTCTAATAAAAGTAAATTGAAATTTTTGGCAGATGATAGTTTTTATTTGTTTTTAATGCAAACAATGATATGTCGTTTTTTACAGTTTTTTCCATTTATTTCTACAATATTGCACATACATCCTAGTACTTCATAATCACATACATCCTAGAAAATTTCCTTAACAAACTTCAGAAAGATTTATCAAAATTCGCATAATCGTTTAAAAGGAGTATACTGTGAGTGCTTGTAATTTAATATGAAGTTTATATAATAGCAATAAAGCTCAAATTGATTCTACGTTTTAGTTAGAAAAAGTTTTTATGAGAAAAAGAAAAGGCTGTTTTTAGGGTTTTACCGGCAATTATTTGTTTTTTTTTTCTCGCCGTTAGAACCATCCTTGGACTTCAACGAATATTCAAAAAAAAAAAAAAAATTGGCCAGGCGTTGTTGAGTTATGCGCTTACAAACACATTTTGCGATTCATTTTTATATTAGGTTGTCAAATTTCTCCCTTTCGCTCTTTTGAATAAAGAGCAAAAAAGCGGAAGGGAGATATTTGACAACCTTATATATAAGAAGATTAATATCATTTACACAATTAACTGTAGTAGTTTGCGCGATAAATATAAGAATTGCAAAATTATGACTATTTCTATATCAATAAATGTATCAATTAACGTTAATGAGTCCATTACATTTTAGGTTTGGGGCGACAAAGATGCTGACGGATTCTATTGGGGCGAAGCTAGAGGTCGAGCCGGTTTCGTTCCGCACAATATGGTAGCAGAGGTGGAAGAAGGTTCAATGGCCGCTTTGGGAGCTGCTGGTGTTGGTTTCTTCTGGAGTTGTCCAGAGTGGCACAACCGGTTCAGGACCTGCCCAGGTTGGCACGGGGACTAATGTCCGAGGTGTACCACGTGATCGTTGGGGAGATATATATGCAAACGTGCCTGTTAAACGCATGGTTGCTATGTATGACTACGATCCTCAAAGCTGAGTCCAACGTTGATGCCGATGTGAGTGTCTAATAAAAATTTATTAACATCTT